AATACTACTAAGACAAATACTAAGTATTAATACCTAGGTAACTTAGAATTAATAACAACGATGTGTTTGGGTTATTAGTTTATTACTATCATAAGTAAAACAGTATTAATCCAGGTACTTGAATATTAACACATGTGTTTGGGTCATAGTTTATTCATCATAAGTAATCAGTATTAATCCAGGTACTTGAATATTAACACATGTGTTTGGGTTATAGTTTATTCATCATAAGTAATCAGTATTAATCCAGGTACTTGAAGACTAACACATGTGTTTGGGTTATAGTTTATTCATCATAAGTAATCAGTATTAATCAAGGTACTTGAGAATATTTACCATTAATGCTACTAGTTTATTCTTCTGATTTCTTCAGTAGAAAAGCCAATCACTTCTTACTTACATGTTTTACAATGTCAACGGGATTTAATCCCTTTTGAAACATTCGTATTGTAAACCTTTAATACAGAAACCAAATGTATAATGTTACACAAGGAATATTAACATGTAAATTTTTTTAAGTATATTGCTGTTAGAATTAAACAGTAAAACGGAATTTGAAAGAGCACTGTGGTAGGAAATGACAGAATAATTTGTACGAAGGAATAGGAATGCCACATGGGCACTGAAATGCTTTATTAGCACATTTTGGGCATAGCACCCTTCTTGAGGAGCATTAAAGCTTCCATAACGTTATGATACTAACAAAAAAACAACAACAAAAAACAAATGTGTTTTCATGTGATAATGCTGTATCATTTTAACTGTATTTACGACTCTACTTACGTATGATGAAGTATGATAAAAGTATGAGGTATTCATAAAATACTTACAAACTATGAAACTACACTATATTCATAGAATACTTACAAATTATGAAACTACACTATATTTATAGAATACTTACAAATTATGAAACTACACTATATTCATAGAATACTTACAAACTATGAAACTACACTATATTTATAGAATACTTACAAATTATGAAACTACACTATATTCATAGAATACTTACAAACTATAAAACTACACTATATTCATAGAATACTTACAAACTATGAAACTACACTATATTCATAGAATACTTACAAATTATGAAAGTACACTATATTCATAGAATACTTACAAATTATACCCAGTGAAGCCGTCTGAGAAACGCTGTCTCCTAGAGCTTCATTTAGGGCGTAACAAGAAACAGACACTTCCTTTGGATCCTGAAAAAAAAAGACCTTAAAAACTTACAAATCCAAACGTCTATATAATTGTTGAATTACGTGCAAACCTACTTAAGGGCTATCTGCCATACCCGTCCCTAATTTTGAAGTAATAGACTAGGAGGAAGGTAGCTAGTCAACACCATTTAACACCAACTCTTTGGCTTCTCTTCTAAGACCAACTAGTGTGAGTTGACCATCTTTCTTATGAAGCATTCACGGCTCCAAACTGTTAATTATGCTTATAACGCTATAACACGAGTTTTTAACCCCATGATGGGTAAAGCGCAGATAGCTCATTGCGTAGCTTTGCGTTTTGGAACAAGGAAACTAACAAAAGCTTTCAACCAAACATCAAAATAATTACTTGAATACGTTTTACTTATCGTACTTTTCAACTATTATTGTTATTATTTTATAAAACTCATATTATTTCTATATTATTCATAAGCAAATAACTCTTTATCACAAAAAGAAGAAATAGTTTAATTGCAAGGTTATATTTGTTTACCTGCCATGTCAAACCAATAGTTATCCTAGAAGTGGTAATCCAACCTCCGTCTGAGCTCTCGGTGGAAGATCCAGCAGAAGGAACGGGTCTGCCGTCTACAACCCACGATATCTTGGCAGCTGGATTGCTTGGTCCAGTAACGCAATTGAGCGTAACGTTATCACCTCTTTTGCCCTCTCTAGGTCCCTTTATTGACAATTGCGTAGGCGGAACTGGGAAGGACATTAAAATAATGGTCAGTAGATATTACAAAAAAAGTTTTATAGACCATCAAGAGGTATTGTTAAATGGGGTATTAAGATCTAAATGTCTTGGTTTCCAGACTAGAGATTGTTAATACAAAGAATAACACAGAAATAAACTACCGCTTATGTCTCACAATGCACTTCAGGCGCTAATACAGTTTACAGTAACAGTAGTAAATGAAGGATTAATGTGACATAAAAATGATATTATTTCCAATGTTCATTGGAGTAATATCGTGTGTCAACTTTGGTCAGGAGCAAACCAATTTCCGAAATGATTTTCCTATGCTCAATTTTTTATGAAGTAACAAAACTTTAACAATCTTTAAAATGATGATATAAGCCTTTTTTTTTCTCGACCTCTTGACGTGCGATACGAATTAACACAAGACTGACAGTATATTATGTGGTCATTGCGTTTAACATAATTTCACAATACAAGACTGACAGTATATTATGGGGTCATTGCGTTAAACAATTTCACAACACAAGACTGACAGTATATTATGTGGTCATTGCGTTAAACATAATTTCACGACACAAGACTGACAGTATATTATGGGGTCATTGCGTTAGAAATAATTTCACGACACAAGACTGACAGTATATTATGTGGTCATTGCGTTAAACATAATTTCACGACACAAGACTGACAGTATATTATGGGGTCATTGCGTTAAACATAATTTCACGATACAAGACTGACAGTATATTATGGAGTCATTGTGTTAAACATAATTTCACGATACAAGACTGACAGTATATTATGGAGTCATTGCGTTAAACATAATTTCACGATAATTGAGATTTTAAAATTTGTGCCTTTGTTGACTTGTGAAGCTTGTAAGATGCAGATGAAAAAATAAAATATCTGTCACATGTCAGAGAGTTATAAACTTGTATGACATTACATTTAATGTATAATGGAAACCTTGCTGTGAGTCGAACAACTGGGCTAGTAATTTCAAGCTGCGAAAGCTCATTTACTTAAATGTATACATGATTAGGGTGTTTTACACCACACGACTCAAGCATTTGCCAGTATTCCCGGTAGTATCGTTTTATGTGACTTACAGTAGACTTTTAATCTGACAATGGCGGCCATTGGTTTTAATGTGACGGTGTTAGATGCCTCGCAGCGATAGTCGACATTGTTGTCTGACGCGTCGACGTGAAACGTGTATGGATTGGTCGTTTCTCTGCCAGACACGGAGTAGCTTGAGTCAACTTGAGCTCCATTTCGGAACCAGAGTAATTTAGATGGTGGATTCCCCCCTCGAGAAATACAAGCCAGTGTTAATGTATCACCCACTTGAACGATATCGTCTTCTTGGTAGCCCTCGATTTTTGGTGGTTCAGGAGGATCTGGAAAAGGACAGAATACTTTGTGTGATTAAACATTATTCTTGATCATTTACATATGTGATAACGTTCGATAAAAGCTATCACAGGGTCCGAAATACTTTTTTTAGTTGATATTTTTGTTAGTTTGGTAACAACTGTCTATATATCCCTTTTAAATATTATGTTAATTTCATTAAAGTACTGTATTAATCCTTTAAGTTCATATTCTAATAAATGGTATATTAATGTAATGAAATCTGAGTTAAGAAGGTTCAAATATTGTTAAAATACGTTGAACATTACCATATTTAATTCTATAATATTCGGACTTTCTTGTACGTTAGTTAAAAGAAAGGGGAAAACAGTCGATTACTTACAAAGAACTATTACTGTCACAGACGAGGATTTTGGTCGTTTTAATCCGGGATGAGTGACCTCGCATGTATAGGTGACGTTGTTGTCGTCCAACTTCGGGTAGAGTATTGTTGTACTAGACGTTGTGAACAGGCCGTTTCGGAGATCTTTAGTCTTAATCAGCACGTTATCTAATTAAGAACATGGTCTTGAAGTACTCTGTTGCGACAATGCCATATTACTAACACCTTTTATAATATAAAAATATGGAGAAAGAACCAGGTGCCAAATAAACGTAGTATAAAAATACGCATCTGTGTTTATCATCCTGTTACGTAACGTGGCTGAAAAACCTAGCGTTTACTAAGTGAAAACAGCGAGCCACGAAGAAACGATTTGTAAAATTCTCCCTGATAGTGGCCATAATTATATGTAGAACAAAACTTATATATTTGTTACGCGTGTAGACAGTGATTCAAACTCCTGGTTATGTCTCGTGAAGTAAATAACAGTGTTATCAAAATTACAATAATGATTTTTAAATATCCATAATTTAAGAAATATACATTTTCCCCAAATAACGCTAAAACGGTCTTATTATCGTTAGATAAAAAAATAATAATAAAGCATAATTTTATTATCATGGAAATTTGAAAACATTTTGGCAAGCAGAGGAAATATCAAATATCACATATGATATAAAAATCTAATTAACATTCCTACAGCAACAGAATGAACAGATATCCCCAGAGAGGAGCACTATTTAACTACCTTTCATGCCCGTAACATTTTACGTTATTTAAATTAAATATGCTCATAAACAATGCATATTAGTTTAATACTAACACAATGCTTATATAGATAGCATACATCGTACATACATTATTTTATGAGATGATAACTAAATGTCCAACTGAACGAACTGCTTTATTTTTTCATTGCTTTCATTGAAAAAAAAATGAAACGTTTTATTCAGACCGAAAAACCTGTACTCTTATATTCATCAGTTTCATTTTTATTATAAACTGATGGATCAGTTGAGCAATTTTCTTTATGGATAGGTTTATTTTGATTGGAAAAGGTAATATGTTTTTGGTAAGGTACCAAGTTGCGTGTACTTTCCAGTGACCCTAAGCTCAACTATTTGTTAAGTAAAGAAGTAGAAGGTAGTATCTTTTTTAACATCTGAATCTTACCACGTTTTCTTATACATTGTTTCAACTCATGTATAAAACTAATACGTCAAGCATTAAGTTCGGAGGATCAGAGAGTCCAAGATTCCATCCACAGTATGCCACTGAAAGCACTTTAACTATGGGGATTTTACAAGTGTGACATTTAATCAATCACTACATTCAGTTAAGAGTAGTCGCATAGGCGGAGAATGCTTTTGACAAGCTGTACTCTTTCTCGTCAGCTGTTATTAATTAGGGAATAATATGTCGGACACTTAGGCTAAACAGCCAGGTCAGAGTTACTTGTGTTTAGCAAAAGGTACCGTTCAGGTTGTACTTATAAATAATTTGTAAATTTGTACGTTCGAAATTTTTCTAAGCTGCTCTTTTTAATTATAAGCACATTTTTAGGCATGTTAATTTTACAGTAGAAGAAATGAAATCAAAGAGTGGTAAGTTTATTTCTATTCAACAAACATACAATAAAACTCTAATAGATCTAATAGAAGAGTCGATATATGAGTGAAGAAAAGCAAAATAATAATAAACAAACAAACAATAAAACTCTAAATAATAGATCTAATAGAAGAGTCGATATATGAGTGAAGAAAAGCAAAATAATAATAAACAAACAAACAATAAAACTCTAAATAATAGATCTAATAGAAGAGTAGATATATGAGTGAAGAAAAGTAAAATAATAATAAACAAACAAACAATAAAACTCTAATAGATCTAATAGAAGAGTCATTATATAAGTGAAGAAAAGTAAAGTAATAATAAACAAACAAACAATAAAACTCTAAATAATAGATCTAATAGAAGAGTAGATATATAAGTGAAGAAAAGTAAAATAATAATAATAAACAAACAAACAATAAAACTCTAAATAATAGATCTAATAGAAAAGTAGATATATAAGTGAAGAAAAGTAAAATAATAATAATAAACAAACAAACAATAAAACTCTAAATAATAGATCTAATAGAAAAGTCGATATATGAGGAAGAAAAGTAAAATAACAATAAACAAACAAACAATAAAACTCTAATAGATCTAATAGAAGAGTCATTATATGAAACTCTTGTTCAATTACTTATCACATTTTATTTTACCTTTCAATTCATCTCCGTTCTTAAACCATTTCAGTTGGGATTGCGGCTTGCTCTTCCGTGCGTAACAAGACAGAGGAACACGCTCCGCCTCCCGAACCTCCAGAACACTGGCGTTTGAACGGTGTTCTATTTCAACTCTCTTTGGTGGAACTGTATAAGAAAGAGCGTCGTAAATAATAATAATAGTAAAACGTTTATCTTAAAATCGACATTTTCATAAAACAAAGTAATGGTGAGTTTTCACTACAACATTAAAACATTTTCTGACTTTGAATGCATTTACACGTACCTTGTTAACACATTCATACAGAGAATGTTGCCCATCAGGGAATTATTAATGAATAGGAATTATAAATTACCACCCATAAAACATTGCATTAAAAAGGAATTTGATTTACAGTAATTTAATGAAAAATTTAACGTGTTAAAAACCTTCTGTATGGAAGTAATTCAACTCACAAGAGAAAGGATTAATAACAATTTAATGAATTAGGATCAGTTAAATTTCATGTAAGTCGACTTACGTGCGAATATATTAATAAAAACTTGAACAAAAGTTCATTTGTAAACCTACTATATAAAGGTTTTTATGTTATTTAGAGAATTAATAAATAAAGAATTCCTTAGCTCTCAATGCATGAAAATTTATTTGAATATTTAGTAAAAACCTTTTCTAAAACCAAATCAGTTAATTGTTTAATCATTGAAAATTGTCTTTATTTTATCATTGATTGATAATAACGTGATACATATCTTACATAATTTTGTTGGACTACACAAACGTAGTTTTGTTTGTTGTTGTTCGCCATGTTAATATGTTATATTTTTTCTAAAAGTTCTACTTATACCTTCACCCGGTAAATGTGTTATATGTTTCTAGCAGTTCAATATTGCACAAGAAAGCGCTTACAGGGGCTAATATTATAATTCAAACTACTTATGAGTGAAAGTAAAGAAGAGAGTATTACAAACAATGTGTAAACTATATCTGCTACATCCAATGCCGAAGAGACCTGTCGTCAGGGTAACAAAGATACGACAGACACGGTAGTGCATGAACAACAACTGTTGTGGTGTGAACTACGTTTAAGTTAGCGAAGTGTAATTCTCATCAATTTTCTATGAGTCATTAACAAACTAGAATTAGGGAAATGATTACTTATTTATTGTTATTATTTATTTTTACTTGAATTAACTTTACTCATCATTCAGAAAAACTGTTGAGCTAATAAAGTAGGTTTATTGTTTCCGAAGTGAGTCAACGGGAGAAGACGACATTAGTTTGTTAGTTTTTGAGTTTCGCGCAAAGCTACACGAGGCCTATCTGCGCTAGCCGTCCCTAATTTAGCAGTGTAAGACTAGAGGTAAGTCAACTAGTCATCACCACCCACCGCCAACTCTTGGGCTGTTCTCTTTTACCAACGAATAGTGGGATTGATC